AGATGTGTATATGGAAGGAAGAGTCATCTCAGACACGATTATGTCCTTCAGGGTTACGCTTAAGAAATACACCTCCATGACTTTCATCGTGCAACCGTCATTTGACGGACGCGCACCTCTACCTGGCGGCGATGACGGCGTAGATGGCTTCACAGTGACTGTTTTTTCCGAGGGCCCAAGACTCGAACGTGCAAAAGTACAGAATGATGGTATGCTTATACACGCTCAGATAATTATGCTAACATAAGCCACGGATTCAACCTCTGTTGAAAAAATATTGAAAATGACTGCTTGAAACTAAGTTGCTCATTTTAAATGGTCCACTTTATCAACTTTCCCTGCAAAAATTCCTAAATTGACTGCCCGCCAGTTTAGGCCTTTGGGTAGGGGAATGTCTCACTTGAAGGAACCCACTGGAAACAAGTCTTAGAATAGTGGGTTATCCTTGGTGCGATTCACACCGAAATACTTCTATCCTTATCCCCAAGCGGCTTGAAGCAAAAACATGGCCGGCCAAACCGGAGGCGGGGGAGGGGGTGGGAGACCCAGACTCGGGCCCCCAACTTTTTGGCAGAAATTATATAATGTCTATGGAGATTTTTGTATGATCGGAAAGAAATGCAAGAAAAGAAAGTGGGAAGAAGGACGAGAAGGAGGGAAAAGAGAGTGTTATCCAGTCAACGACTGAGTTACATTTTCTCACAATTCACATTGGCGGATCCGGGGAGGGTCCCTTTCAAGTGGAAACATCTTTACAAGACAAACATACACATAAAATAGGCCCACTTCAAAAAAAGTAAAATAAAATTTTAAAAACTTAATTCTAGACCTTCCTTTTCCGGACCCGTATTGAGCTGATTTTTTTTTTTTTTTTTTTTTTTTTTTACAATAAGAAAATAATAAGTCGGGAAAGCTCATTTCCCGCCATCTAGGATTTAAAATTCTCTCTGTGGAGGACCCCGACGCCCTTTTATTTTTGGGATTCATCGATCCATGGAAAGAAGAATCCTATGCAACGTATACATACTGGTACAAACACAATAGGCCTATTTACTGTAAGGATGAGAAAAAATTACCTGACCGTTTTCAAGGAGGAAAAACCTTGAATTTTGAAGAACTTAAAAGTCATCAAACGATACTTCAGAAGTCGGGAAAGCTAATTTCCCGCCATTTAGAAATCAACATTTCAACATAAGAACTCGAACTCGCCTTTCTCTTTTATTTCATTGATTCATGGAATCGTTTTCAAGAGGGGAAAAACCTTCAATTTTGGAGAACTTAAAAGTCATTAAAAGACACCTCAGAAGACGGGAAAACTCATTTCTCCCATCTAGGAATCAAAATTTTCCCTGACCCCTTCTTTCCTTTTGGGATTTATCGATTCATGTAAAAAGGATACGTATGCAATTACTCAATTTTTTTTATGTATGTATACACATAGAAGGCCTGTTCACTGTAATAAGAATTAGAAAAATTGACTTGACCGTTTTTAAGAGGGAAAAACCTTAAATTTTGAAGAACTGTGGCCACCCCAACTTTGAAAAACTTTCCGCCATCCTTGAAAAAAAAAAGACTTGTCTAAACTATCTTGTTCATTCTCCGGCGATCAGTTGCCCTCTCCAATAATTGATTATAAAGTACCTTCATTTTATAGGAGGTGGTGTTAAAGTTAAGTTCAACCGAAACGTAAACACTGATGAATTGCAGACATGTGACGCAATATTTGCGAATGCCGAGAGGCTTGGAGGTGGGGCTGAGTGTGAATGGAAAAGCCAAAGGTCGCTGGTTGTAACATTCGGAGAGAATTCTGAACTTGGTGCTGGTAAGTTTGACTTCCTTTCCGTTCATAACGCCGTACGGCGGCCCAGTGGACACGAAATGCAGGAGCGGACTTAGAGATGTCCGAATGGGAGGAGGGGCGCAAGTGGGGCCGATCTAGACAACACTACCCTATGGGTTCGGGTGCATGCCCCCGCGAAACTTTTGTTTTCTATAACCTCTAAGGCGGTTTGGGCGATCAATTATTTCTTGTCCCCGATACACCGAAAGCTCTCGCGGCAGCAAATGTTATAGAAAATATACTTTACGTTACTTATTGTCGGTAATCATGTATTTTTATTTGTTATTAATTTAAAATAATATAAAAATATTAGATGATTTATTGTTAATTCCCATTATCACAGAAGTTACAATTTGTAGACATAATTATTTACCGATTTGGTTGATGTTATAACTTATTATCTAGGTCCTACAGTAAGCCTACCAATCACAAGCAGTGCATTTTTGAAAGCAATAACAATAACGATAGTATAATATAAATAGCTCTCGGCATTCTCTAGTGCAAAAGCACTAATCAGGCCTATGTCCGAACAGCCCTCTCCATTCAAATTTAGCCTAATAAATGGAAGGTAGTATTTAATGAAATATGAATGAATATTTTAAAGCTAAATGAATGTGTAAATTCAGGAGACTGTAATGATTAACGAAAAGTAAAAAAAAAAAAAAAAAAAAAAAAATAGGCCCTATGCATTATGTTTTGTCGTATAGGTGATTCACTGAGGGTTAATCCGGGTGCGATTGGCGGTTTTAAGCAGAAACATTCAAGAACATCAGAGGACGACGAAATATCGATTGAAGGCCCACAAAACGCACAAGCACCCGTTGCTATCTGCGAAGTGCCAAGCGAGATCTCGTCATGTGGCAATCTCCAAGTGCGTGGAGAAAAGTCACGTGGGGGTGGTAAACGTGGACTGAAACGTCAATGGAACATCACAAAAAATGGAGAAGTGGATACAAGTTTACAAAGGCAACTTGATGGTTTTAACCGTAAGTAATTTCAAAAACAATTGAACAAATACCGGTCACAAGTTACTCGGGGCTTGAGTCAGTAATATCATAACTTTGGCGCGTTGAATCACGGATAAAGTAATCGAACTTTACTTTTATGCTAGACTTAAATTATGGCCTACAGTAAATCAATCACGAAGAGCCCTTTATTATTATTATTATTATTATTATTATTATTATTATTATTATTATTATTAATGTGTATTTATATAGAACATATCTAAATCTCTATACGCTTAACAATTCCAAATTAATCATTATTTATTTTATCATTTAAATGTTAATAAATAAAAGGTTAATAATTCAAAGCAATTGCGAGTAGAGTGTTGGACTGTGAACCAATGTAGCGTCTGTATTGATGGTTTACCGTGATGTAGTTACCCTAATTGTTCGGAATGTCTCTCAATTCCGAGTCTTCATTCTAGTTTTGAATGATGTTTCCGCTTTTAGAGTGCCTGTGCTCGCCCTAGAACTCCCGAGTTTGGGGTTTCTGCGCGCGTAATACACGAAGTACGATACAAACACTTTCAAATCTGTGTCTTCTAGGTGGCGATGATGGCTGGGGTCGTAAATCCTTTGAACTTGACGGGAGTGTGATTGAGCCCAATGTTGAATATGAATTAACTCTAAGTGTGGAAAATTCCCTGGGCATTCGCCACAACGTGTCGCGGAGGTTCCGGAAGGCGAGCATACCTAAGCCAACTGTAACAATTAGGGTGAAAAATGGTGATGCTGAAGCGGCCCGAGTGTCTAAATCGTAAGTAAATCGATAATAAAACGTAACGTTAAATAGGCCTGTAAATAGTATTTGCATATTTTATGAAATAAGGCGTAACAACGCTTAAAACATGTGTAATTAATGCATATAGTAGGCCTATACTGGATGCACTGTAGAAAAATTACAGTAACCTAAATTTCAGTATCAAACCTAGTGAAAACATACAAGAAAATTTATTCACCATACCGCCACATTTACTTGTAGGCCTATGGATGAAGCAATACCGTAACCATTATATCCCTCTAGCTTTAATCTCTTAAAACAATATCTGAGATAAGTGCTTTATTATCAGACAAACTTGACCTTTTAACTTAATGATGTTTTCTATTGGTATTTTAAAGTTGAATACAGACCTATTTCAGGCGCCTCTTACAGATGTCCTGGAGTACTAAACACTAGCAAAATGCTGTATACTTCCTTAATTTATAATTTTCAATGTTGATCGTTTTAGGCTAACCCTTTCTGCTCAAGTTGAATATCAAGAAGGGTGTTTCGACGTTGGACAAACCAACTTTGAATGGAGTTGGAACAATCAGGACGCCAATATCGATGACAAAAACCGATTTTCCAGAAAGCTACTGATCCCTGCGAAGAGTCTTCCTGGTGGAAAGATCATCCGATTCACAGTGAATGTTTCCAGGGAAGGGGACACATCAACCTATGCAACGGATTTTATTGACATTCGTGCGGTCAACACAGACCTGAAGGCCATCATTTGGGGGAGTAAAAGCCGTCAGATTGGCTGCAGAAGTGGTCTGGTAGAACTAGATGGAAGCAGATCTCAAGATCCAGACGAAGATGCCCACGAAATGTCATACGATTGGACTTGTGAGCAGGTAGGAAACTACATTTATGTTCATTTTCCAAAATAATTATTCAATTTATTTGACAAAATTGTAATGATTGGTTATATTTGCAGATTACAGATAACCTACCGTGCTACTCATATCGAGACGAAGATGAAGAAGGGGTTAAGTTTGCATCGCAAAGGGACAATCGTACATTGAAGTTCAATTCAGATCAGATGGAACCAGATAAGGAGTACCTCTTCACACTTCAAGTTCAGAAGGGTGAAAGGTTTGCTAGAACTGAAGCTACCATAAGCTGCTCTGAAGAGGAGCCAATAGAGGTAAACAGAAGGTGTGTCACCAAGCAAATTTGGTATGACGATACGCCTCCACAAGTGATAAATAAAGATATTTATCTAGACCCAGTGGCGTATCTAAAAGCCTTGAAATTGGGAGGGGTGACGGGGGTGCGAAGGTGAAGTGGGTGGGGGGGGGGCGGCTCGATGATCAGTTGAAGGGCGCTAATTCGCACAATATGGTGATTTTAGGTGATTTTTAACTACTTGACCGTGATTTTTTGGGGCGACTGGGGTGGCGAGAGTAATTTTTTAGGGGGTTGGGCGTGCGCCTCCGCGCTCTCCCCTAGACACGCCACTGTCTAAAACCTATCTTCAGTCTTGGTTGGGTAAATTTTATTTTCACTCTCACAAAGATTTCTTTTTTAATGCAAAATTTATATTTACGTGTAGAATACGGTTCAGAGTTATCTCTTTAATGTTTCATGAATTATTTATTTGGAGATCCTACCTTAACTATTTAGCCGATGTGTTTGTAAAATATTTCTCCTCCAAACAAAGTTTCAATGGTCATGTTGTTGAGGGTGCCAACAAAGACAACACAGTCCGTCTGGGTTCGAATCCCGATCGAGGCATAATTTTTCACTCTACAAAATTTCTAGGGGTTTTTGTTTTAACGCTCACTATATAAAATATAATTATATTATATAAACACGCCTATTTCTTGTTTTAGATTGAATTGTCAACGAACAATGATGAGGGACTGTACAACAGCGACGATGAAATTGATGTTAAGGCCAAAATCCGAAGTAATTTAGAGGTTACCAACTTCACATGGGTGACTGATATCTCGCAGAATGACTTAGCGGAAGAAGATGGTGAGCCACAAATAATATACTGTACAGATTAAGATATCACGTATTATAAATATAAAACCAAGGACTTATAACTGTTACCAGGATAAGAAGCGTCTAACTTGAATTAACCTTATAATCCATTCAATCTCCGAAAAAAGGGGTCAACCCGGAAAAAATTGCAACAGTAATGAAAATAACTGTTTTCAATTCAGAATTTAATGAGGAATAACATAACAAAAATCTAGGAAAGTCTAATTTGTCGAAGGGATAAAATTTTACCATAAATTGCAAAGTTTACACGTTTTCACACGATTCATTTTAAATATATACGGTGTCATACGAAAGCTATAGAAAATATATATCGATTGATGTATATGATGACACATTATATTGATTTTGTAACCTGGAAATTACCAAAAAAAAAAAATCAAAAACGAAAACAAAAACAAAAACAAAAATAACCCGAATTTTTTTATGACTTTTTTTCGCTATATTTTATTATACATGAAATATTAAATAGGAAAAATACTAAGCTAACAACCTTTTCGCCTGACACTTTCTCAAAAACTAACCACATACACAATAAAACACCTATACAAATTTCAGACATTATCCACTAATATGTCAAAGGTCATCTCTTGCAAAAATAGCAAATTTTACACTTTTCACCTTAAAATGGTATTTTGAAGCTAGTACATTACTAGAAGATTCGATTTGAATATATTTGGTACCATACAAATGCTATTACAATTATCTATCAAATGATGTGTAATGTAAGATGACACATTATGTTAAGTTTTGACCCAAAAAGTACCAAAAAACGTATTTTTATGTCTTTTTTGGCTAAATAACAAAATACATGTTTTATGAATATATTAAGCCAAACAATTTTTTGTGTATTCCTTTCCCAAAAACTGGTGAATTCTCATGACCAGGACTTGGCTCACCTGGAATGGGCTGTTATCACACTGAATTTTAGATTTTATTGCCAAAAATTTTTTTTCCAAAAAAATGACAAATTATACATGTTTTTACTCCAAAATCTTATTTTGAAGCTAGTCCGTCACTGGAAGACCTAATTTAAATAAATTTGGTGTCATACTAAAGCTATTAAAATTATCTACCACATGATGTATAGGATGACACATTATATTAATATTGCGACCACAAAATTATAAAAAAAAAAATTTATTTGTTAAAACTTTCTTCGCTAATATTAACAATACATATTTTCTTAAGTAAATACGAAAAATAATAGGCTAATAACCTTTTCACCTGATAATTTCTCAAAAACTGACCACATACAAAATAAAACACCTGTAAAGAAATTCAGACTTTATCCATTTTGTATTTTGGAGTTAGAGTATGTCAAAGGTTATCACCCACAAAAATGGCAAATTTTACACTTTTTTTTACACCAAAATGGTATTTTGAAGTTAGTACGTTACTAATCTATTTAAATATGTTTAGTATCATAAGAAAGAATTTAAACTGATCTATCAAATGCTGTGTTTTATAATATTATATTAATGTTGTGACCCAAAAAGGAACAAACTTAAATTTTTGGCTAAACTATATAACACTTGTTTTATTAATGAATACTAAGCTAACAACTTTTTCGTCTGATACTCTATTCTTCCAGTCCTTAGCTGAAACGGAGTGGGCAGTTTTGGATTTAAATGCCAAATTTGACCAAAAAATTGCAATTTAACACGTTTTTACCCCAGAAATGGTATTTCGAAGCTAGTCCGTCACTTGAAGTTTCAATTTCAATA